ATTCAGTTCAGACCAGGCCCAGTTTATAATTACTACAATTATCATGTTGACCATTTCTATTAGAAGTAAACTTACAAGATTTTTTTCTAAACCACCATAACAAAGAATGTAGTTGGGATCAAAAAGAACCCTGCAAGATGAAAAGGCCAACAACCTACTCTCAAACTTTAAAACAAATATCAATTGTACTGTTAAAGCCTATTACACGATTTTATCTACAAAACTTACTGTTATTCATCTGAAACAGTGACAGCATTAATACTGTTATTGGTAAATTGTCATAAGCAATGAATGAGAATACATACAATGTATGCAATGTCAGGTGTTAGCAAACATGAAGGTCAATTAGTGAACTCTAAAGCTAATTCAAACCCAAGGCATTTTCACTGGTAAGATGTTACATACCATGTACAAAACATGAAGCTAACAATACCTCCACATTCTTTAAGATACTAAGTATTAAGACAAAGTAATTTGAAATGGAGCATTGACACCAATGGCAGAGGAGACTGTACAGCCACTTCACCCATATTGCGTTGTTAATCCTTTCTGAGCACTAGAAGATGTATAAAGGTGAAAAATAAAAGATCTGAAAATTAAAGTCAGGCTTCCTTGTGTGTCTGGAATCATTCATTATAGTCCTCTCACTGGCTGCAACACAATATGACACTTTCTCTGAGGCATTTTTTCCCTCTTTTTATAGTATTTCATTTTCATGGTTTATCATTTAGTTTCCATGCTTTCACCACAGGCCTCAAAGAAACCCTCAAAAACACCAACCAACAACACTTAAACCAATATAAATACGAAATGTTTTAAGGAACAAATACTGCTGCAGCACTCTGCTCATGCAGCTGTCTTGAATATTCTAGATTCTCCTTTGAAGAGCTCACATCTAACATCACTATACAGATCCAAGCTGAGATAGTACAATTATGAGGACCATAAGACAAGGAAAACTGGAGAAATGAATCATTAGCAATGGATTGTGATTTTACTTTTTTTTTTATTATTATTACATACACTGACTCAGAAACTGGATCCTATTGTGTGAACAGCACAACAGTCTCTAAAGATCTGCTGTGATTTATTTGTGCTAGGTCATGGAAGAGGTAACTGCCCAATTGCTACATGTATTTCCTGAGTTCAGAATTTCAGATATCTTCCTGATTTACTCACACAGACCAGTCACATTTGCAGTTATTTGCTTGCTTCTGCAGCAAATTCATAATTTAATTATTTTTTTGTGTTTTTTCATTTGTTTGGTTTGGAATTACCTTCCACAAAATTATCTTCTAGGAAAATACTTCTAGGAAAACTGGTTATTCTCTAATTAACTGGTGTTGAAATGCTTATCCATAGTTTATGTCGAACCTCCTAATGGCTAAACATAGGGAGAAACAAAGGCAGTTAAAAAAATTTAAGATCACACATCAGCAGTAAAACATCTTCCAAAATGCATTAACTACTTTCAATAATATAACATGAAATTACTGAAACCATGTGGTTTACTTAGAAAACTGTTTAAAAATAAAATGATAGAACTGTTGTTTACACAGCTTTCAGAGTATCTGACCATACCTCCCCAGCAATTTTAAGACAAGTGATAAGAACACTATTTTTTTTTTTATCTGGGCTTTACAAGGACCCTACATTCAGTTTAATTCCAGTTCATCTGTATGTAGGATGATTTTGAAAAAATACACCTTGTCAGTTTCACATTTCCAGAGCAGATTTTAGGCACCACCACCCAGAAGAATCCTGTCAACTTTTGCGAAAGCTGGAAAACGAAAAGGGAGAAGTAATCTAAGCAAAAGTCTTTGGCAACATTTTATCAGACTTATCAGCTATAATCACATCAGCAGTTGTCTCTTCATCAACGAAAGGGCTCCGAGTAATACCTTCGATCCACTCACCACCTCAGCCTTCGTTCCCAAGTGAGTTCGAAATGTTGACACCCCAAATGATTTGTCCCCTGGGCAGAAAGCAGAGAAATGGGAACTGCTGTGGGGGAACTGAGGCACCAAAAACCGAGAGGAAAGGTGCAAATGGGAAGACACAGAAAGCCCCTCTTCATGGTGAAAGAAGAAATGGGGACACAAAAAGGCTTCTCTCACTGCCAATATCCATGTGCAGTTCAAAAGTTGATCTTTCCTCTCTTCCCCGCCGGCTGGATGGTGCGAAGGGTCAGCCAACAAGAGAAGCCATACATGCTTGTGCCTATAGCAAGAACACACACGCATGCATAGGAAGCGAGGGCACTTAGGGACAGCAGAGCAGCCATCCTCATCCCCACTGCAAGCTCCACCGAACGCCTCTGGGACTGCTGCATGATGAAGGTGAAGCCCAGTGGCTTTGGTGGAGGCTATTCCTACGTGAAGTCACTCTTTTCTTTTCCTCTTGTAATGAGTTGGCTTTAAGATGCTGAGAATGAAAGTCCTAGAATCTGGTTGTTGCCTACAGTGGATAACCAGGAATCTTACATCAGCTAGGAGCTGCCACCCCGTGTTCAACACGTACCCTCATCACACCACCACTTCTCTTTTACTGGGAGCCCTCCAGCTGATACTGAATGTCTAACAAAGGAGAAGCTTCTGGAAATACAAACTTTGATGAATAATAATTGTGCGCTTCACATCACTTAGAAAAATAATGAATCCTCCTTTTCATGTAACTGCTATTTAAATAGTAATGTCTACACCATGCACAATACAAAACATTGGGTTTCTTGCCTGGTGCCAGCTATACAGTCACCTGCAGTCCAACCATGTTCTGCTGACACAATAGCATACAGCACTTAATATGTCATTGTCCTACTGTATTACAGAAAACCACAAGCAATTTTCACAGCCACAAGCCAGAACATGAAAAAGAATCATGGCAATTTCTGGCTTCTTTGCAGTCTTTGACAGCAGTATTCCTGATTCAAACTTACCAGCCCAGCACAATCAAGATTGACTTTAGATGTGGAGGAATATGCTTTGATTAAATAGGTAAAAAAAAGGACTACAACATTTTTACGTAGAAATGCTGCATTTAGTTCCTGTGATTTATACTCTTAAAACTGAATGACACACTACTGTTACTTGCCTAACATGCGGGTAGATCATCACGCAAGCATTTCCCAGAATGCTTAATAAAAACAGATGATTAACCAAAAAAAAGATACAGTGGGCAATTTCCTACATACTGATTAAACCTACTCCACGACCCAGACAGAGGAAACTTGTGGAGAAAGCAGTGATGTGATTAAAGCTGGAGTGGCTGCAACTAGCATATGCAATGAAAATCGAGGAATGGTCCCATGAAACTGTGAGGTAAAACCCTCTCATTAAGAACTGCTTTAACAGAGCAGACAGATGTTTTGTCCACATCCTGCATCTAACAATGAGTGAACATGGAGAAAATGCTCAAGAAAGTGCCAAAGATTAATTGGGATTATATTTTTGTGGCATGTTTTATTCAGAAAAATAAACTGGAACATTGATTTTAGTGTCACTGACACTTTCTAATAAGACACTCCGTGCACAACATATATTTAGGTCTCAATGAGTTACAGCTCTATAAGGTTTCTGTGGACCAAAGCAAACCCCCCTGAAAACAATGGGGCTCCTTGCAGGTGTGAGCTTGGGTAGCCAGAACCCACTGCAGGACTGGGACTGAGCAGACACTTTCATTAATGTATCTGCAGCGGTGCCTAGGCGTGTTTCTCCAAGAAAGCCAAACCTTGTAATTAACCTATATAAGATTTTCTTCTAGATGAGGCCAGCTAGAGCTTTTTAATTGCTTTCTGTTACTCCTAATAACACATCTCTCATCAGGATGCACAGCTGCCTCGCAGCGCTTCATCAGCTCACTTCTGGCTTGGTGTACGCTGACTGTGATGGAGCCACCCAGCCGCTCTGCCACCAGGTACTGGCAGCACGCACACTTGTCCAGACACAGCACTGCCAGCCCATGTTGTTTTACTTGATGCTGCTCCAGCGCACCCGCTAATTCTGAATTATGGGATTCAATCTCAGCGGTGTGTTACTGAGTACCTCTGGAGCGACGCCTGAACTACCAACAAGCCTTCACTGGTAACTTGTGCCATCTACTTCTTCCCCTTTCCTGATGGGCCCTAAGAAACAAAAGACACTCGCCCCCACCTCAAAAACTGAGCCCAGAAAGGCGAGGGCTAAGGAAGAGCACGTCGGAGCTGCGAAGGCGCCAAGGTGAGCTTTGAACCCTCTTTCCCTCAGGCCGCTCGCTGAGGCGACGAGCGGCTCCCGCCCGTCCCTCCCCCGGGGGCGGCCGCAGGTGCCGCGGCCGGCGGGTGAAGGCCTGGCTGGGGCAGCCGGGCTCCGGCTCCCGCTCCCTCCCTCACCGCGCTCCCTGTCCCACACGAAGCCTCCAGCGAACCGTCCCCGTCCCCGTCCCCGCCCCGTTCCTACGGCGCTTCCCGCAGAAGCGCAACAGGAGGGAGTGCGGCAGCCCCCCCGCCGCCTTCCCCGCGGCGACCGACACCCCGACGGCAACCGCGACCGCTCGGTGCTGCGTACGTGTACGCGGGGTGTCCCCTCCCAGCGCCGCCGATCCCCGCCCGGTGCCGGGCGGCGGGAGCCGCGACCCGCTGGGGCTGGTTGCTCGGCGGAACCTCCGCGCTGGAGGGAGGGAGGGAGGGAGGCAGCCCGGCGGCTCCGGGCGACCCCACCGCCCGCCGGGTGTCTCCCTGGTTCCCCGCCGCCCCGCGGGGAGGGGGCGAGCGGCTGCCTCCCCGCCCCGCCGCTTCCCCGGCAGGCGCCGGGCGGCTCTCGCCGGCGCCACAGCCCCAGCCCCACCGTTACCTCCGCGCCGTGCCCGGTCCCCCCGCGGCGGCTTCCCGGCCCGTCCCGCGCCTACAGCCCCAGCCCGGGGTGAGCTGGAGCCCGGCCGCCGCACGGGCAATGAATGGAAACGCGCCCAGCGCTCCCCGTCCTCCCTCCTCCCTCACAACTTCGGCGGCGACGCCGCCGCCTCACCTCCGCCGGGCAGCGACGGCTCCTCCGCGCTGGGGCTCCGCTCCCGCCGCCGCCTCCGGCCCGCGCCCCGCCGGGCTCACCCTCCCCCGCTCCCGCCGCGACCATGCACCGAGGGAGGAGGAATGGGATCCCGGCGAGCGCCGACCCGGCCACCCCCAGCCGGAGGGAGGGAGCGAGGGAGGGAGCCGCGGCGAGGGGCGGGGAGGGACGGGACGCGGCCGTCCTGCCCTGCCCAGGACCGGCCCCCTCACACTGACGCCCCCCGCCCTCACACCGCCGGCCGCGGCGGGGTGCCCGTACCCGGGGAAGGGGGCGCCCGCAGCGCGGCCGGGCGGGAGGCGAGCGAGGAGGGGCGGCCCCGGCCCGGCCCGCTCTGGGCCCCGCCGGCAGCCGCGGCGGGCACCCGGCGCCTCGGCCAGGGGCGGCATGGTGTGCGTCCCCGTCCCCGCCAGTGTCACAGCTGTCCCAGCGGGCTGCCCAGGGATGAGGTTCTCTGGAAACAGGCAAATAAACGCTGACCCGCCGCCGTGGCGGTTTGAATAACCAACGGCCCTTCGTCTGCCTCCCCCCAAGGGCAGCGGCCTGCATGACTGGCAGCGTCGGGCCTGGGGTTAGCTATCGAACTTCCCATCGCGGTTAATCCGCCTCGTTGGACCTAGTCGTGGAGGATGCGCTGAATGGAAAGTGGGAATGGTAAGCACCAACTCGTGCCATTTCCAAACATTCCTTTTAGTCTAGACCTTCTGAAAAAAAAAAAAAAAATGCAGTTAATACTTACACAATTTACATTGCAAGAAAATGTCTCCAAAATTGTCTGCAAAGCTTCTGGGTTTGAACCTTTTCCTCTCAGAACAAAAAGTTGCCCCCCAGTCTCCCTTTAAAATCCCAGTTAACACAGTTTCAAAGCAGCACTCTGATGACCCAGGCTTTTCAAGAACTTTGTAATTTTAAAAAATGTCTTAAGATGGCTAATGCTAAGCACATATGTGTCTACTAGCAGCAGTACTCATTTAAAGCAACTGCAGAGAAAATTGTGGTTGAGACTTGGACATGTCTCCGCATGCCTCTGCTATTCCCTGCTGTTGTGCCTTCATGTAATACACTGATTGTTGCAAGTGGATGACAGGTGTCTCACTTCATACAGCTCTTCTCAACGTCAGCTTCACTTGCTAGATTGGAACTGGCTGTTGCAACAGATAAAACCAGCTGCTAAGTAGGTCAGTAAAATAAATCACTCTGGGTATCTAAGAGATATAAACGAAGTATTACACCAGTGCAAAAGTTGATTTGCTGCAGCTAAAGCTGTCCTCAGAAAGAGCAAGGATTTCTCTTTTCATAGCGATCAGAACAATATCTTTCATGAACACCGCATTTACCTGAAGCTATGGTTTGGGGCTGAATCACTCGCTCTGATGATATGGAAGGATCAATGCAGGCTGGCCCTGCTGACTGCTTGGGATGCCAAAGTCTTCTACTGTGCAAGGGCACACTCCATCTGACTGGGTCCGAGCCTTTCTAATTAGTGTCTACTGCTCAGAAAACCGAATTGATTATTGTTTTCCTAAGTATGTAGGTTTAGGAGGAAGAAACAAGCACAAAAAGACAAGAATTATGTTCCTGTGGCAGAAACATTAAAAACATACACAGCTATCTACACTTACTGAAAATAGAGCATATGCTTTCATGTCTGATTATTGTCCAAGCTGGTATCCTTAAGTTACTTTTCGCCTTTCTTTCTGGACAAGTCATCGAATGCAACAGTCTAAAAAAGGTTTATTACAAACACTTTTGTTTGTTCCCATTAAAGTCTCTGAAAATTATTTTTCTACAAAATAAGGGTGTCTTTGTAAAGCTGAACTCTCTGTGACCTCCAAGAGCAGCTACTTTAACATACAATAGGAGACAACTCAATAGGCCTGTCCAAAAATAAACATCTCTTTAAAAAATATTTTAACCCTAGAGACTTCACACCAGTAGAGCAGTCACAATGTTACTTGATAATACAAAATTAACATAATAGATATATTAATTTTCAAAAAGCTACAAGACCTTTTGCATTCCAGTTTTTGAGTATACTTTGAGCTAGTTTCTGTAATATATTGCTCTACTACTTTCAGAACAGTATTTTCTGAAACAGGTAAATGCCTCATGCCACTTCAAAAGGATAGTCCATCCATAACATGAAACCAAAAATTATTAAATCTGCATTGCAAATATTCTTGTAGCAAAGATCAGTTTTCTCACTAAACATCTATTAACTGCTAAAAAGATAGAGTGAAGTGCCTATTGATTTAATAACACTTACCTAGAATAAAAGGAAATAATTATGAATGCATCCCTGCTATATTAATTTATGAAGTTTGCTTCTAAACATAGAAACCCATGTGTATCCAAATCACATATAAGTCTCACTGCAATTAACAGATGGGATGAAGAGTGATCTTGCAGTGGTTGCTGCGGTAGTGGATCCAGTGGCAGCAGCAGCCTCTTCTTCGTCATCCATTAATTGTTTAAAAATTGTTTGCTATTTAAAAATACACGGCAGGAACAGTTATGCAGGAACAGTTATACAGTCCTGCTATCAGTGCTTATGTGCAGGCTCAGCCATTGCATAAAATAATCACTAATGGGAATGATGACACTGTATAAGAAGAAAATTATAACCCATAGAACACTGTGATAAAGTTTTTAAGTAACTGATTACAGACTCACGGTATTGCATGTAATACAAAGGGCAACCATGGCTTAGAACATTTTAATTTGGGCTATCAAATAGTCCAACCCCATCAGGTACTGTCTGGTCCTCAGCACAGACTTTTACAGATATCTTTTACCATGCTACCCTGGATGCAGAAACCTGTGTGGCAAGCTTGGTACATCAGGTTGTGGGGCTGAATGAGTCTGTGGGTTAGAAAAACAGTCACGAGCAGGAAGTTTTTACTAGGAGGTAGGAAACGGCACTCTGAAATCCCCTGATTTGTCCTTGAAGGCCAAGAATAGGGACCCAGACAGATCTAAACATAGCATACCATTTTCTTAATTTTAAATGCTTATTTATTTGGAATCGGTGTGAGGAGCTTGGTATTTCCTTCTATCTAAATAGCAAGGTTTTAATGCTAACTAATTACGATATTGGCTTTGATGTGCAGCTCTAAACATTTTTATTTTTATTATCTGAAATCCAACTGCACAAACAAATAACTCATCACCAGAACTTAACACATATGCATTATCCAAACAGGAAACGGAGACATCAAACAAGCATAATTTGGATTAAGTAATATATGACATGGAAAAGATGATACAATGATTTTTCCTCTTGCTCATAGATCTTCCCAAGTATTAACTTTGTAGGCATTCATTTGTTTAAACAGTTTTCCTCCCTAAACATTGATTTATTTACAACCTCAGATAGCAATACCTGACATCGTTTTGATTGATCTATTTAAATTTTCCATGGACTGTTAGAATGAAGGATTATTTTACCCTGAAATTTCCTGAAGTTCACCTGAACAAATACAGCCTTGGATGTGGCCCAGAAAACATTCTCTGAAGGTTATAAGAATAGAATATAGACAGGGCAGACAAAACAGGATAGCAGAAAGTACAACCAAAGAGGCTACGACATCCAAATAACTAGCAAATAACATATAGGTTGGAAAGCAGAACAGACACTATTTGGCTCAAAATGAAGCTCTCACTGTGTCTGTGAATAGTCACTGGAAACTATTAAAAATATTGGAGAAGATACAAAAATGTCTATATGGTGCCTATAAAAAGCTAAAAATGAACAAAGGGAATATCATGTACGCATAGTGCAATTAAAAGTAGTTAGACTAAACAGCAAATCAATCTCAACTTTATAAGCTTCAGATATATTCATATTAGATTTTTTCCCTGATTGTATTTACTTTCTTGGTTTGTTTGTTTTTTGTTTTTTTTTTTTTTGTTTTTTTTTTTTTTTTTTTAAAGTGGTTGCTGTTTAAAACTTTCTCACTGTGGAAGACTGGAATAAATTTCAATATTCTATTGAAATTAATAGTCCGACTAGAGAAACACAGGGAAGAATTTTATTGGAAAAAATAATGTTGGAAAAACAATGCTAAAATTGCAACTTGTCCTAAGAACTCCAATGAAAATGGAAAGAGAGGAGTTAAGAAGACAAAAATGGTGGGAAATATAAAAAAGAGAGGACACAACTCTGGAAGAGTTGGAGAGAACTGACTGAGGGCATGGGTGTTATTTTACTGCAGCTTGCTTGTTCCTCTACCCCAAAGAAAAGTAAGATGTCAAACATCAGCTGAGAGAGATCTCCAAGAAAATGTATCTTTCTCATGTAATGCTTGTTTTTGTTTACAGCTTCAGAAATCTCAGTTCCTGTAAGCACTTAGTTATGACATTTCATTTTTCAGAAGTTAATTCCCCTAGTGTCAACCAGCATATGGTGTTACAGAAAAGAATCTGATCACTCTACTGTACAGCCAGTGAGGGTAGAAACAAAAAAAAAATTAATTTAAGAGTGGGGAAACGCATCTGTTACAACTTGTTTTACCGTAGCTTGAAAGAACCTTGGTACTCACACTGCACTATAAACACAGAGTAAAATGAGGGTATCCTGGCCAGAAACATCTTACACTCTAAACAAATCAGACAAAAACTCCAATGCCTAAGCACAGACAAGCAGAAAGATACTGAGAACTAAATAACAATAACAACCAATGGTCAGGATTTTTGGCAAAAGTATCAATTAAAAAAAAAAAAAAAAAAAAGGCCCAAATTCATCATCACATATTGTTTGTAATATAATGGATACTTTGAGAGCAAATGAGAGATGACAAGAAGCTGTGGTTAAGTTGAAAAGGACACCCAAAATTAGCACCTTATGTTGTAGATAATAAAAAAAGGGTGCAACAGCATCCTGAGTGGGTAACAGCAGTATCATATTGCATCTATCAAGTCCAGAGAAAAGGAATTTTATAGTTCAGACCCAAAATAAAGTTTATGTGAGAGTTTTAGCCATGGATAAACAGAAGACATACCATCTCAGAGTCATCATGCACAGAACTAGTGTACTTTATCTAGACCATCTGCACATGAGTACCTAGGGAGAGATCAGTGCTGAGTGGCAGAAAGCGCTGAGATGTTGTCTGAAGAGGGAAAGGAAGTGGG